AACTGTAATGGTACAGAGACATGTTTTTTCATTAAACTAATTAAATATATATACATACATCAATTATTCTCAGCCATTGAACGATTAAGCAATTAAAAGATTGAATAATTTCAAGCCTTAGATTTAATTAAAATGTGCAACATTTGGTTCAAGCTCAAAAATTTACACAAAGGGATTATAATATAACAATCCAAGCTGTGAGTATTTTCTCATTGTATCACACGCAGTCCTCAAAATCAACACGTCTGGAAAATTACAGTGTTTGACTTTAAGTGCCGTGATTCTTGCCATTCTTTCAATTGACGGGTCAGTAAATAGCAGTTAAGGATGTTGGCGAGAGCGAGTGAGCGAGCGAACGAACGCGCACTGCGGCTCAGCGAGCCTAGCTTTGGCAGACACTGGTGTCTGGGGTTAACCAGAGCTATGGAAATCCAGGTTATGATGGGCGATCCGTCGAGCGAGTAGGTATAGGAGATGGGGGGGGGGGGGGGTGTGATATGAGATGTGATACCTCCCTGATATGCTGTGAAAGAAAAGCTGAGGTGTGTGTGTAACCATGATGCATTATCCAGGCGAAGAGGAAGAGCAGGGATGGGGAAAGTCACTAGTGCTTGTGGGATGTAGCTGAGGAAGGCGAGATTACACGGTGCAGTGCACGGTGCAGTGCCTGAGGGGCTGGAGACGCCCCGCCCCAAATTCACAAGGCGCTCGGCGTCGAAGCCCGGCAGGGCCTGCTTCCAGACCGAGGACGGCGTGTGTCCCGAACATGAAGGAGTCCTCTCCAGGCCGCTAACTGGGCCAAACCTGCGAGCTCCGGGGAGGCTGGGATGGCGGTCTGGTTCTGACACCGCCGTCTCTATCGCGGCTACACAGTGCTGCTGTCAGAGGAACCCTGGGGGACGAGTGACAAAGCAGGCACTGTTGTTCCCCGCAGGCGGGTTTCCGCACCGCGCCGGCTGCAGTGCCTCAGCACTCGCCATGGGCTGTCAGCCGCTGCCTGATGTTATCCAGGATCTCGCCGGTTAGTTTGGTGGCTCCCATTTGGTGTGAGGCTTGAGTCTCCCAGCCACGCGTCTCCAGCAAACTCCTCTGCTACAACTCTTGAACCTTGAGCTTTTTTTTTTTTTCACCCACAATGCATAGCTGCAGACTATCAGCCTCTCTGTGGTTGCTTCCTGCTTCCTGTTACTCGAAACCTTTCAAGGTTCTTTAAGGATGTTTTGCACAAATGCAAAAGCATGGTTTAATTTAATGATAGGATGGGAGCAGGCAACCAACCAGAAGAAGCCCCCCCAGGGCTGACAGGGGCTCTGTGAGGGGTGGAGACATGGAAGGAATGGAGGCAGTAAAAATGGTGAATCAATTCAGAGCAGGTCATCAGAGAAAATGAAATGACAATAATAATAATACTGTAATAGCAGAAAATAATAGAAGAAAAAAAAGTATTTCCCTTCATTCAACCATGTGGAAAACAAAATGTCTGTCCATCCATCCATCCATCCATCCATCCATCTGGAGCCAATCCCAGGACTCCCAGGGAATGAGACGGGCACACACTGGGCAGGATGCCAGGCATAATCTTAATTTAACAGCTTTTTATTTCATACAAAAGAAAAGAAATAAAATCCATATTGATTAAGTTCCCAAAACAAGTATAATACAGTATATACAGTATGTATATGTATAATATAATGAGGTGAAATATTTAACTGCTAATTCCCCTGCTGTACTCTTTCTTCTTGTTTCCCTGATCCGGCTCCCAACTCCCCCAAACTGGGGCTACCTTTATGGAGACCGTTTAATTAGACCGGTACTCTAACAGGTCAAAAGCCACAAGGGAGAGAGGGAGGAAAGGGGGGGTGCAGTACGGGGAGGGAGAGCGAACGGAGTGGAGGGGGATTTGTTTTACCGTGAAAAATGTGCATGCAAGGTTGTTTGTGTCAGTGTGTGTGTGGTAGGTTTTTAAAGGATTCTGAAGCTTAATTGTCATAGTTGCTTAGTGCCTCCCTGCAGACGTAACATAATGATGAACAATAAATAACAATAACAGAATGGCGAAAAATAACGTACAGTTTACGCACACAGGTTTGCCAAATGTCATGTATCTGGTGTGACACTCATACTTTCAGACTCTCACACTCAAAAAAAAAAAGCAATATGTTTTGATCCTTCCGGCATCCCATAAAATAGTGTCTTACGGAATGATGTTTTGGGGCTTGAGAGTGGTCCGGGTTCTGACAGAGGGTTCTGACAGAGGCTCTCAAGCCCCTCCTTACACAAGTCTAGTAATATACAACATAGCCAGGGATTAACATAACTGGTATGCCACTGCGTGTTTCCTGTAAAAAGTACTGGTACATACTTTTTTTTGTGTGCATTTGTGCAGTGTGACAAGAAATGGCTGTGCATTTTAACCTTTTAACCTGCAAATGAAGTATGCACTCTGTGCAAAAAGGTTCAAATGAGTGGCAATTTCTTGTCATAACGGCGCAAATGCCTACTTATATGTGCATTCGCGCTGTTACGACCAGAAATTTCCACATAAATTGCATTATATGCCGAATGTATATTAGTTACCATGCCATTTATGTCAGTCCCTGAATATACATAGAATATGCAATAAAAGACAAGAATGATAATTTACTGTTTTGTGTGAGAGGTAAAGATAGAGAAGCAGAAGGCTTGTGTGTGTGATTTCACTTGTACCAGAATCACCCAGATCATTGTTGTTTCATGACACACAAATATAATTGTCCAGAGTATCTTAAACTTTTCAGCCATGCTGTGATAAACGCAGCCTATGTTATATTTTAGAGTAGAAGTAGAATGCAGATCTATAGTAAACTACAACTGCTACTGCCATTTTAAATAATGTATTATTTAAATTTCATTTTAGTTCTTAGCTATTATGCAGAACCACTCATAAATTTAAATCAGGAGACCTAATGGAACATAAACCTAGAAAATTCAGCTCATTTTACCAGTGAAGAAGGTACAGTTGTCTTATCTCAAAACAGCGCTTTATTTGTGTAACTGAACACAGTAGAAATTAAAAGCGGTAATGTTGGTCTTAAAGAGTCCATTTTTCAGAACCTCTTTAGGTGAATTAGTGTCTCTAAATTGCTGTTTATTTCTGGTGGTGTGTCTGAGCATGTACACTGTGACGCAGTGCCGTCCTGTCCAGGGGGATCCTGGCCCAGTGCATCCTGGGAGACATTCCAGTCACGCAGTGACCCTGTTCTAGATAACTGCTTACGGCAGAAGGATCGATGACAGTTTTTTCGTCAATTAGGCCCAACTAGTTGGGTTTGACTATAAATAAATAGAATTACATGTCATTCAAGTATGAATTAAATGAGGTCATTTAAAAACTTGAATTTTGATAATGGATAGAAAGAAATTGAAATCTGCAACTAAAAGCACACACAGACAAGAAAGTATGAATTGGCCTTAAGTGTGTTAATGAGGGTTGTGCCTGTCCTCCGCCATCAGATCCCACGACTGCTTGTTTCTGACATATACACTGAGGTTCCTGGAAGTCCCACCCCTTGAGAAATGCGAACAGAGCTGTGTGATTGGACGGACTACGCTAAGCCTCAAGGCGTAAATACGGCGCCTCAAGTACCCTGGCCGGAAAAGGCTCCCGTCCAGATTTAGCTCCTGCGTGAATTGGGACATGTCGCCCCTTCACCAGCGACGGTTCCTGTAGTGCTGGACTACTTCGCTGCATCAGGGGAGCGGCACCAGTCACCCCGCATAGTGCCACCCATCGCATGGGGGGACAGGTAGCTGTCGTTGGGCATGGGCGGCTGTTTGAGGAGGCGGCACTTCCGGGGCTTGGTCCGTCCCAGTCCATATGTTAGGGACAGTCCAGCTTTAATGACGGACAAAGGTGACCGACTTAGGGACTTGCATAAGAGAACAAGGTTTAAAAAAAAAACAGGTACATACCATGTTTGTCTCCCAAGGCTCACACGGAGCCGAATTTCACAGTCTACATGCCTTTCCCGTGGTCTGCTGGTGTGATTTCCTTCAGTGTAAGCAGTGGTACAAGGTTAAAGACATCGTTAGTGACTGATACCTCTGGGATGAAGAAGAAAGAAATCTGTACATTTTTGGGATGTCGGATGGTCCCAGATATAGGGCATCTGCTCTTGTGATAAATCACAAGGAATGCCTTTGTGCATCTGCATTTGTGTTGGACGGACCCAGATATCAGGCATCCACTCTTGAAATAAATTCACAACGACTGCATTTGTGCATCTCTGCTCCGTTCATGCCAGAGCACCACATCAGTTAGACAATTATGTCCCGCTAGATAAGTACCGTAGTGAAAGCTTAGGCTTATTACTGCTGCTGCTTCTGCTTTCAATGCAGGCTAAAGTTATTTTACAGAATCGGAAACCAGGCCGTGTGCAAATTCCCACGTTTTATTAATGTTGTGTCAAGTGCAGGTGTGATATATTGGTGACTCCCCAAATCATGAAAAAAAAGAAAAACACAGTTTATATAATGCGTTGTAGTAAATGTCTTGTAATAACATTTGTATTTGTGAGACATTTTACGGTAAATTTACTTACACTGTGGTTAATATTGCAATTTTCTTAAAAGGCTTTTCATTGCCTTAAAAGATGAATTTGAGATTAGAAAAATGACCTTTTAGTCAGCCCTGGTTTAGCATGTAGAAGTTATTTATTTAGCATGTTGGACTCGTGAAGTCCAACAGCGTGTCAGATGGTGGTTGTGTGCTTAGGTTTCGCGTAATTAGACTGTCCATGGACGCGCTTGTGAAGTCACAATAGTTACTTTCTTACTCATTAGTGAATTAAGTTTTTTTCCCACCAAAGTCCAGTTAAAACAGCCACATTTATTAGTAATGTTCACAAACATCAAAGTCTAGAACAAGAAACTGGGTGGAAAAAAAAGGATTTAATCAATTTGTGCTTGATGTAAAATTAAACATCGGGAAACCTAATGGATCTCTCACTCCTCCTTTGCAGGTCGATGTTGATTAAACTTTGCTGGGGGAGCAGAGAAGAAGACTGAGGCGAGGCCATGAGTAAATTCTGTCACGTCCAGTACCGAAGCCCAACACGGAAGACCTGAAATGGGGACTGTGCACTCCCCAGTGCTGATGCCACAGCTGTGACTGTCTTCAGGAAGCCTGTTTCTCCACAAGTGTCTCATCAGCCTTCACTGCTTATCCTCACCTGTGGCCCCCTGGAGGTGAAGCACTGCCCAGCACCCTCTGCTCTCTTCCTACGTCTTTCGAGAATCCTGTTATCCACATTTTTTCATTCATTATGGCTAACTGGCTTCACTTCCCCTCACTTACAAGCCCTACCATTCTGGTCCTCTTCCTTCTTCCCTTTATGCTCCTTCTCCACCTGCTGACGCCAGTGCGGGCCGACTGCTGGCTCATCGAGGGGGACAAGGGCTACGTGTGGCTGGCCATCTGTAGCCAGAACCAGCCCCCCTATGAGACCATTCCCCAGCACATAAACAGCACGGTGCATGACCTGCGCCTCAATGAGAACAAGCTGAAGGCCGTCTTCTTCTCGTCGCTGAGCCGCTTTACCAATTTGACGGACCTCAACCTCACCAAGAACGAGATCTCCTACATCGAGGATGGGGCTTTCGCCGGCCAAGCCAACCTACAGGTGCTGCAGCTAGGTTACAACAAGTTGACTAACCTGACGGAGGGCATGCTTCGCGGTTTGGGCCGCATGCAGTGCCTCTTCGTCCAGCACAACCTGATCGAGATGATAGCCTACAACGCCTTCTGGGAGTGTCCTAGCCTCAGCAGCCTTGACCTGTCCTCCAACAAGCTGGCTCGCCTGGACCCCTCCACCTTTACCAGCCTCACCCGACTGTCAGTGTGTGAGCTGGCGGGGAACCCCTTTCACTGTGGCTGCGAGCTGTACAGCTTCCTCACCTGGCTGGAGGCCTTTAACAATGTCACCCACACGTACGACCGGCTGCAGTGCGAGACGCCGCGTGAGTTTGCCGGCTTTCCCCTGCTTAGCCCCGTCGCGGGCCACAGCCGCAACGCCCGCGCTATCCTGTCCTCTATGTGTCGGGACGGGATGATAATTCCTGGGATCACCTCACTACCACCTGACTCAGATGCCTCGGGCCTGGGCCCAGACATATCCGACCGCATGGGGCTCTACCATCAGCCCACTACATCCTCCACCACCGATCCCACGTACAGTCCCAGCATCAAGCTGCAGCACGTATCCTTGTCTTCAGCCTCCCTGTTGGTACAAATCCCCAGGCCCTACAGCAAGATGTACATCTTGGTACAGTATAACCACACCTATGTGTCCGACATAATGAACCTCAAAAACAAGAAGGAGATCATCACCTTGAACAATCTCAAACCACACACTAACTACACCTTCTGTGTGGCCTCCATCCGCAACTCCCAGCGCTACAACCATACGTGCCTCCATTTCGCCACGCGCATGCAGAATCCTGATGACATGCGGCCCAGCACTTCCACCACCACCCATTACATTATGACCATCCTGGGTTGCCTCTTCGGGATGCTTATCGTGCTGGGGGTGGTCTACTACTGCCTGCGCAAGCGACGGATGCAGGAGGAGAAACAGAAGTCCATCAGCGTTAAGAAGACCATCCTGGAGATGCGATACGGGCCTGAGGCTGCTGCTGCGGCTGCCAACGACCTCTCTGTCGTTCAGAAATTCCATGATCAGGCGCATCACCAGCACCACCAAAGTAAGCTTCCCCCCTCTTCCTCCACCAGCTCCGGGATGATTCAGGGCTCAGCTAACACCAGCTCCTCCCGTCTCTCGTCTATCCCGCAAGAGGGGAAGATGTCCACCACCTTCTCAGAAACAATGGCAACCACCAAGGGCAACTACATGGATGTGAGGACCTCTGCAGCCGGGGAGGACAGAGTTAGAGATGGCAGCATGTCCAGGGCTGGCGATGAGAAACTAAGGGAGGGCAACGGAACAGACGTGATTGAAGATTCTGACGATGACGGTCGGGGCTCTGTCTCAGAGATTTCTACCATTGCTAAGGAGGTGGACAAGGTGAACCAGATCATAAACAACTGCATTGATGCACTTAAGCTGGACTCTGCATCTGTGGCTGCTGCAGCCGCTGCCGTCACCGCTGCAATGGACAACCCCACCTCTCCTTCATGCATCTCATCCTTAGCTAGGGGACACATTCCCCTGGCTTCCGGGATCACCGAGGCATGCCAGGTCCTTGCATCTCCAAAAATCCCTCCTCCTCCCCCACTCCCCCTTGTCCTGCCACTGTCAGAGCGGCCGGGGATTAGCGGTGGGGGTTTTCTTTCACCCCCCTACCGGGAACCTCCACCGGCTACCGCTGTCCGGCCACTCCAGAGACAGCTGAGCGCAGATGCAGCAGTGGTGGTCATAGGCCCTGTCAAGAACCGCTGCAGCACCTCCTCCTCTTCCTCCTCCTCCTCCAGTGGGCCAGCTAAAAACACCCGTGTCTTCAGCTTAGAAGTTCCGGAGCCTCGTAGCCCAGATTCCTGCAAGTACTCAGAGAAGGGCAGCCCTGTGGATTGTGGGGAGCCTCTGGAAAGGATGCCTTTGGTGGGGAGCCAAGGATGTGGTGCCAATGGCGGTGGTGGCACCAATGGGGGCAGCAGTGCTGGCAGTGGGGGGGCTGCCACAGGAGGCCAACACCACCTGGAAGTGCATCCGGACTACCATTGCTCTGAGCACCGGCACTCCTTTCCGGCTCTGTATTATGAGGGACCCGCTGATTCCCCCACCCAGAAGGCCTCGTTCCTCAAGCCCCTCACCCGCAGCAAGAGGGACGCCGCTTACTCCCAGCTCTCGCCCCGCCATCACAACTACTCGGGATATTCCTCTAGCCCTGAGTACTCCTCTGAGAGCACACTCAGGATCTGGGAGCGCTTCCGCCCGTACAAGAAGAGTGCCCGGGAAGAGGCCTCCTACGTCGCTGCCGGCCACGCTCTCCGGAAGAAGGTACAGTTCGCCAAGGACGAGGATCTTCATGACATCCTTGACTACTGGAAGGGTGTCTCGGCGCAGCAAAAGCTGTGAGTGTGGTGGGGGAGGGGGGGGGGGG